CCTTTTTTCCTCCCCCCATCTCTCCTTCCCTCTCTCCCTCCCTCTCTTCCTTTTGTGGCTCCCTTCTGCATCAGTGTGTTTATTTATTACAATTAGAACTAAGTTTGAGCAAGGCAGCTATAAAAAGAAAGTGCTCTGTCAAAGAGACTTAGGGCCAGTGTGCTGTCTACTTTTATGTCTGCTTGACACAAGCTAGAGTCATCTGAAAGGTGGGAACCTCAATTGAGAAAAATAGAACCTTTAAAAGATCCGGCTTATAAGGCATTTTCTTAATTAGTAATGATTTCTTAATAAGTAAATGATGGGGGAGGGCCTAGCTCATGGGGGCAGTGCCATCCCTGGCATGGTGGTCTTGGGTTCTATAAGAAATGTTGAAGCCAGGTGTGATGGTGCATGTCTTTTTTTTTTCCTGAGACAGGGTTTTTCTGTGGCTTTTGAACCTGTCCTGGAACTAGCTCTTGTAGACCAGGCTGGTCTCAAACTCACAGAGATCCACCTGCCTCTGCCTCTGCCTCCGGAGTGCTGGGACTAAAGGCGTGTGCCACCAATGCCCAGCGGTGCATGTCTTTAAACCAGCACTCAGGAGGCAGAGGCAGATGGATCTCAGTGAGTTCGAGGTCAACCTGATCCACAGACCTAGTTCCAGGACAGCCAGGGCTACACAGAGAAACCCTGTGTCAAAAACAAACAAAAAGAAAGCTGGCTGAATAAGCCCTGCTCAGCAATCCTGTAAGCAGCACTCCTCCATGGCCTCTTCATCAGCCCTGCCCTGTTGGGGGTTCCTGCCCTGGCTTCCTTCAGTGATACACTTAGATGTGGAAATGTAAGCCAAATAAATCCTTTCCTCCCCTACTTGCTCTTTGGTCATAGTGTTTCATTGTAGCTATAGAAACCCTAACCTGACCATTAGCTGAGTTGATGTCTGATCCTTATTGGGAGCTAAGTCTTCATGGAGGCTGGTTTATTCTCTAAGCCACCTATACTCCTAGGTAAGTATGGTCCTTAAGAGTCCCAACCAAAAGTCACAGGTATCCATCTCTTCTCAACCCCATGAGACAGCCAAAGCTCTACTCAGTGACTTAGCCGTTGCTTGTAGAATCAGCAGTCACGACAGGCTCAGAAAAGCAATGGGAAATGTAAAGCTCTTTTCCATATTTTGCACTAACTTCATACCTCTTCATTAATGTTTTTAGTATTTTCCTCTGTTGCTTTTTTGTTTTTATGGTGGAATGGAGATCCAAATCAACTACAGAAGACTGTTGTTGGAAGCATAATACCTATACACATTGACTATGCAAAATTGATATCACACTATATGTGGTGGTTTATGTTTCTGACCATTTTTGTATTTTAAAAATACAAAAATTACCTCTCTCGCTCTCTCTCTCTCTCTCTCTCTCTCTCTGTGTGTGTGTGTGTGTGTGTGTGTGTGTGTGTGTGTGTGTGTGTGTGCTTATGCTTTTTTGAGACAGGGTTTCTCTGTGTGACAGTCTGTCCCGCGCAATTGTCTTGCCAGCAAGAACAACACAGGACATTCGGATCCTTCTGCAGTAAGGCTTTAATGCGTCTTGAGAGAGAGAGCATAAGCTTACAGAGAGGAGACCCCAGCCAAGAATCCCGTCCCCTAATAAAGGCTGGCAACCGCTGCCTCAGACGTATCACCCCATGATTGGCTGCAGCTCATCGGACCATATGACGCCATAGAAGAGGCAGAGACAAAGGGATGGAAAGTTAACCAGCGCCTGCGCAATAACTTGTTTACATTCGGTGTCTGCCGGATGCAGGCGCCATCTTGTAATGGAGAATGCAGGGACGGCTCCCTACAACAGTCCTGGCATCTGCTTTGTATAACCAGGCTGTCGTGGAACTTAAAAAGATCAACCTGCCTCTGCCTCCCTGGTGCTAAGATTAAAGGTGTGTGCCACCACAGGCAACCTATGAATATTCTTATATATATACTGCATTTCTAACTCAAAAAATTATGTTTAAGAGTATTTTACCTGTGTGTTTATGTGTGTATGTCATGTGTGTACACTCCTGGTACCTGTGAAGATCAGAAGAGGGTACCAGATACCCTGAACTACAATTACTGACAATTGTGACAGTTGTGAACTGCCAAGTGGAAGTTCACATGTGCTAGGAACTAAACCCAAGTCCTCTACAAGAGAAGCAAGAAGCAAGTGCCCTTATCCATTGAGCCATCTCTCCAGCCCCAGGACACTGCATCTTTAATATCATTAGATGTGGTAGGAGAATTCTAAAATAACCCCATGATCTCTTATTCTTATGCTGCCCTGTATAATCCCCACCACTTGATGTCTATAGGACCCTTACTTATTCCTAGTCAACAGATAGAACTGGAAAGTGGGAAGACTTCCTGTGCTAACATTTCATTATGTAATACTTCATGTATTATGAAACTAAAAATTTTTGCTGGCCTTAAAGAAACAATTTGTTATGTTGTCACTTGCCTATAAAAGGCCACCTGGTAGGAGCTGGAGAGGTGGCCCAATGGTTGAGATCACTAGCTATTCTACAGGAACCAGATTCAATTCCTAGCACCCACATGGCCGCTCACAACTATAACTCCAGTTCCAAGGGATCCAACACCCTCACACAGACATACATACAGGCAAAACACCAATGCATATAAAATTAAAATGAACTGAATTAATTAATTAAAAAAGTAGGCCACTGGTAGGGCCTACAAATGGCTTCTAGGATCTGAATAGCCTTTAGCTAGCATTCAGTAAGAATCTAGAGCCTGCAGTCACATAATCACAGGAAATGGACTCTCCTAACAGCCTGAGCGAACTTGAAAGTCAACTCTTCCTGACTTGAGCCTTCATGTGTGAGGAATATGTATTTTAATGCCACTTTGACAGGCCCTAGCGGAGGGTCCAGGTAAGCTCTGAACACCCTCCTGGCCAAAAGAAACTCCAAGATAATACATGGGTGTTAAGCCACTAGGTTTGTGGTAATCCATTACACAGCAATTGCAAACTTAATACACTGGGCATTGCTAGGTTATTTCATCAAGTTATAGTCTACAAACAGTAAATAAGATTCCATTTTCTATACATATTTACTAACAATTGGAACATAAATTTGTAGATATTTATCTTTCAGCTATTTTCATCTCTTTATAAACTGTTTATTTTCATTTTATGTATTTGTTACTACTTTTATTATTCTCACAATTTTGGCTTTGTTTCATGAAAGTTTAAACTCAACTGACCAATCTTTTTGTTTTGTTTTGTTTTGTTTTTTTTGAGACAGGGTTTCTGTCTAGCCATTGCTTGTTCTGTAACTCAATCTATAGACCAGGCTGACTTCAAACTCACAAGAGATCCACCTTTCCTCTGCCTCCCAAGTGCTGGGATCAAAGGCATTCGCCACCACTGCCTGGATACAGTTAAAAAAAAAAAAAAAAAAAAAAAAAAAAAAAAAAAAACAGCAGGTTGAGAGTAGGAAGATACCTCAGTCAGTCAGTACTGGCCACCAGAGTCTGAGGACCTCAGTTCAATCCCCAGCATCTAAGCAAAAGGCCAAGTATGTTGATACAGGCTTTGAATCCCAGCTCTGCGGAGGCTAAGACAGGTGGATCCCTGGAGCTTGCTGGTCAGCCAGCCTGGCCTAATGACCAAATTAGCATACCCCAGAACACAGAGAGAAACCTTGTCTCAAAACCCACACATGTGCACACACTTGGGCATGAAAGCACAGGCATTTAATCCCAGTACTCTGAGAGGCAGATGCAAGAAGGTCTCCAGCCTACATAGTGAGACCCCGTCTCAAAAAAGAGCTCTGCAAGCTGAAACTGGAAAGAAAAAAAAAAGCTGCCAATCTAATAGGTATAGAAATAAAAACAACACAAATGTAGATTTATGTTATTATTTTAGCATGTAAATGTAAGAAGTAGGTATTTACTTGGATTATACAGTTTAGCATATTTCTTTTCTGTTACATGTATCCTGTTACTAAAAGCAAAATGGCAACAGGACTGGTTACATGTGGTAGCTAATAATAAGTAGAGGAAGGACCAATTCAGTAACACGTATAACAAAAATGTGGCAATATTTTGTAAAGTTGTATCCCTTTGCTTCAAGGATGGGATTTAATTCTTCATTGTATGTTTAAATTTTGCAGGAAATGTTATTTTATATTCTTTCTTTCACACTTGATTTTATGCTGTGGTGCTAGGGAATCAAGCCCAGGGCTTCATGTTAGGCTAGCACATTACCAGCTAAGTCCTAGCTCCAGCCTCTTATTCTGTACTTTAAAGACTATAAAAAGAATATAAGTATGATAAAAGAACTAATTAAACAGGTGTTATCTGTACTATTAAAAATAAATCCTAGCACTGGGGAGGCAGAAGCAGGCAGATCTCAGTGAGTTTGAGGTCAAACTAGTCTACAGAGTGAGTTCCAGGACAGCTAGGGATACACAAAGAACCTCTCTGTCCTGACAGGGTTGAGTATTTTTATTCTGTTGACATTTCCATTAATACTTTAATGAACTGCCTTCAGGAGACGTCTTTTTTATGTCAAAAGTCAAACATGAAATTAATTTGACTTGCAGTTCTGCTTTTGTGCCTGCATAGTAGTGGTTCATGTCAGTACAACCTAATGACATCAAGCTCAAATTTCTCTCAAAAAGTACACAGGCATAGATTACTTATTTACTGGCACAGCAGGTTTGAAGCTTCTTAAGAATTCATTATAACTAGGTATGATGGCTTCGGCCTATAATCCTAGCACGTGAAAGGTGGAGGCATTAGGATCAGAAGTTCAAGGTCTCCATTATATAACAAGTTCAAAGTTTGCCCAGCAGTGGTGGTATACACTTTTAATCCCAGCATATGGAAAGCACAGACAAGAGGATCTCTGAGTTCAAGGCCAGCCTGGTCTACAGAGCAGGTTTCAGGACAACCAAGGCTTCACACAGAAACTCTGTCTTGAAAAACCAAAATATAAATAAATAATAAAAATAAATAAACAAACTCCTGTCAATGGGCAGAGACAACGTAGTGGTGATGTTCGTACATCAGGCAGGGGCAGAGCACATGGCAGTCCTTTGTTCATCCTAGCTTGATGCCTGGCTTGCTGGCCAAACCTGTTTCATGCCTAGGTCCCATAAATGAACAAATAAGTAAATAAACAAACAAATAAATAAACAAGTTCTGGGCTATGTGAGACTTTCTGCAAATCAACACACAAAAGAATTGGTTTTCACTCCTCCAGAATGGCTACCTGCTTTGTGTGTACAGCCTGTCAATCATATTTTTTACAGCTATAAATTAACCATGAAGACTCTCTGTATCTCATATACCCACCACTTTAAAAGCACTTTGATGCCACCATAAGTTAAACATCTTTTCTAGGGCTAGGGTATAGCTCAGTGGTAGAGTGCTTACCTAGCATGCCTAAGGCTGTAGGTTCAGTTCCTAGGACCACAAAATAATAACAATACCTACCATATGTAAAACCTCTTTCCACAAAGAAAATTGCTGTTAAGCATAAACATTATCTGAAATTGCAAAATTGTAGTTAAATTTTAAATAAGTTTACAGTTTGAGTAAAGAAATTTAGGTTGCCTTTTTCTGGGAACATATTTAACAATGTAGAACTAGTTCTATTTTCAAAATGTTAGTCTTACCCCTGTGCTTCACTATAGTAACACTGAACAGCTCAGTCAGCCCACCCCTTCCGTGTTCCACGGGGCTTCTTCACACATGACCTGTTCTCTCACTCGCAGCTTGGTACCACAGACCTCACAGGCATGTATCCACACATGTATGTGGAGACCTCAGGCAACACATTCAGGCCCCATTGCCCTGACAATTCTTACCCTTTGGCTCTTCTTTCTTTTTATTACTATTACATTTATTTATATTGGAAGGGGTTTTGTGTATCGGTTAGAGGACAACTTGCAGGAGTCAGCTCTCTCCTTCAACCATGGGAATCCCAGGCTCGAACTCAGGTCATCTGACTTGGCAGCAAGTGACTTTACCTTCTGAGCCATCTCACCAACAGCCCACCCATAATTTTTTTTTTTTTTTGTTGTTGTTGTTGTTTTCGAGACAGAGTTTCTTTGTGATTTGGAGGCTGTCTTGGAACTACCTCTTGTGGACCAGGCTGGTCTCGAAATCACAGTGATCCGCCTGCCACTGCCTCCCTAGTGCTGGGATTAAAGGGGTGCACCACCACTTCCTGGCCACATCTTTTTTTATGTGTGTGTGTGCTAGAGATTGAACCTATGGCTTCACATAGGCTAGGCAAGCATTCCAGTCACCTAACTGCAACATACTCTGTTTTGGGGAGAGGCAAGAAAGAGACCCAATGTGTTCTGAAGATGGACTCAGAACTCCTTAAACAGGAAATTTGAGTTTCCAGATACCTAATGGTTGGCTCGGGAGCGAGTATTGTAGGCTCTTCATGGTCTGCTCTCTTGGCCTGTGGGCTCCTTGTGTTGATGGGCCCAACTATGGCAGACCTAGAATGAGACCTCTAAAACAAGGGACCACAATAGGCAATCTTTCAAGCAAATCGTCTAAAGCAGAGATTTTTCTTGTCCAGATTACAGGACTGGACCTTGTGATAAAATAAGCATGTTTCTTATAAGGAGAATACAGCTTAAAGTAAGACCAGGAGGGAATGTTCTTGTGAGATGTTGAAGAGTGAGAGGTAGAGAGTCTAGAAGGACAGATCAATGTGGTCTTAGAAGTAGGCAATACATAGGTGGTGCGATTAGCCCCTCTATTGCGAATAGCACGTGAAGTCTGGGCTCAATGGAAGTGGATTCATTCTTTATAAGAGCTATACTCTGCCTGCAACACACTTCCATCTGTGTCCCCACTTTACTGTCTTGTCACTGTTTCTTTTGGAAGCTTCCTCCCAGTCCTTGATTCATTTGTCCTGTTCTCAGGCATAAAAGCTATCACTTAATTTTTTTCCAAAGACTCTGATATCCTCCTTTAGTTATACCTACTCACATTTGTTCACATATCCATATCTGCCTTTCTGATTATTCAGGATAAAGGTTTTGAGGGTACTAGTCTTGCTCAGCATCCACAAAGTAAATAAAGCACTTGTGACTATTAAATGCTTGGTGAGTTAATACTTAAGCCACTTGGCGGATGAGCGGCATTGAATTTGTGTTTGTTTGGGTTGATTTTAGGGGGATTTTTTTGGAGGGGAGGTGGGTATTTTGTTTTTCCAGACAGGGTTTCTCTGTGTAGCCTTGACTGTTGTGGGACTCAGTCTGCAAACCAGGCTAGCCTTGAACTCAGAGATCTCTCCTGCCTCTGACTCTCTTGTGCTGAGACTAAAGATATAGGTAGCCACACCCACCACTGGGTGGCACTGTTTGATAGCACTGAATCCAAACTGAGTATCAATCTTTTGATGTCCTTCCAGTTCCCATTATTTCATTTCACACATAACTACTCAGAGCCAGTTACTCACACAAAGGTCATTTATTTGAATATCCAAAGCACTTTACAAAATTATATAGAAAATCTAAAATCATTCTGTTGTTCTATTTTATACCATCATCTTTTTAGTTAGTTTGACTTACTAAAAAAGAGTATCTTAGTTACATGTGAAATATTCTTGCTCTTGCCTATAGGAAAGGAGATGAAGGATGTCAAGGAGGAGAGAAAGTCAGGAACAAGTTTTAGCTGTCATCTATCCACCCCAAGCCCAGAGGTAAAGAAGGCAGTGAGACACTAGTGTATGGTTGGTGTCTTTAGTAACCCAGTTATGTTTAAGTCACTGACAGTCATTGTTTTGTCAATTCACCCAAACCCTGCTGGTTGTTAAAATGCTGCCATATGAGACCTCCAACCAGGACTGTGGTGGTGAAGAGACCATCGCTAGACCTGATGAGTAGTCCTGCCCCACATTTGGTGCTGTGACAATGTCCTATCCTGTGTACAAATCCACAAATACTGGGGCAACGCCTGCATGCCATTAAAAACAACAACAGTTTCAGGGTTAGAAACATTGTCAACCACGCTGTCATGAACATCTAAGGCCCCAGGACTCAATGGCGGTGGGGTAATAATTAAGTTATTACCCTGACAGAAGGAGCCTGTGAGCACTTCTGCCTCAAACACATAGATTAGTCTATCTGTGCTAGAGGTCTTCTTGACCTTGTCTGCTAGTTTTTTGAGGCTCTTGGTGAAATGTATGCTGGCTCCATAAACTGGTCTGAAAGAGAAAAAAAATATGTTATAATAGATGATGTCTATTGGGGTACTAATATGTATTTTCTCTCTAGACCTTCACATAATTACCTCCACCCTAAGTTGCTCCTGAGACAGTATCACTGGTACCATCAACAACTGCTTTATGTTAGAATATATCATTAGAATTTACACAGAAGTCACTAGCTTTTGAAGCAATTTTGCATTGGTTAGGTTCAATTAATCTGTAATTTGAATAGTATTTTCATCACCATATAATTCATCTAGGATTGGGATGAATTATGATTCAAGTCATTATTTATCCAGGCAGTTCTCAGCAGTAAGGAACTCTGTTCTTAGAAAACTGGCTAGCTACACAGGCTACAGATAGGTGTATCTCTACAGCTTTTGAGAAAACAGATTTTAAATATCGTCCAGTAAGAACAGGCAACACTAGGATAGCAGGATCACGTACACAGCACAAAAATCAAAAGGAGAAGGGGAGGGGGAAAGAAGTCAGAGTCCTGGACAGTATAAGAGGAAAAAAGATGTAAATGCTTGATTCTTTTTCAAGAAGGGCAACCTGGTTTGGGAGAGCATAGTCCTTACATCATCCCTGGAAAACAAGGTACACTGGTTTCTTACTGTGGCCTGGCACAATGCCTCACTAAGTATCCTCCACTGTCTTGAACTAGATTCATGCTGACCAGATAATTTCCACCCATCAGGCAATCTGGAGACTATGACAGTAATAAGGTGATGCTTCATTCCCAATACTAGAGGTGAACAGTCTCCATTCTACTATAACCCCTATCACATTATAGATTGTGGGATTAACAAGACTGAAGAGCCAGGCATAGTGGTACACATCTGTAATCCTGGCACTCAGGAGGCTGATGTGGGAGGATTCAGAGTTCAGGGCAACCTGAGACCATATAAGAAGACCTTGTCTCAAATAGCAAAACAACAGAAATGAAAACAAGCAAACCCAAACCCTCATAGACTAAGAGTTAAACTGCCTTTTACTGTAGAGGGAACTTAATGCAGCTTAGTGATATATATTAGCATCACAAAGCCATGGTTCACTCTCAGCACTGAAAACAAATAAACTCATGCAGAGGGGAACACATAAAACTTCTTTGAAGCTTTGCTGCCATTCCTTCCTTCCTTCCTGTCCCTTCTCCACTGAACCAAACACTTATTCAGGGTCTAGAGCAGCACTGAAAAGTAGAAATGCAATACAAGCCCCATATGCCACTTTATGTTTTCTAGTAGCTACAGACAGGAGAAAGAAGGGGGCGGGGAGATGAAATCAAATTGGAGTAAAAGTATCATTTCAGTATCTAGTTAACCCTGGTTGTTAAGTGTTTTTGTCTGTGTTGCCTGTGATAGGGGCTTGTGGCTGTATTGTACTGTCTGGGCAGTGTCTGGGGAGTTCTTTCCACCTGCCCAGCAAGGGACAAGCCACCCCTGGAAGAGGCCTTCTGACGCTCCATAGCTTGGATTTCAGGGGCTTTGATGGCAAGTGCATCATGAGTCTACCTCAGGCTACCTCCCAGTTGTCCCACAGTCCTATGGTCCTACGTAGGAATCAAATGAATAGGATGTCTCTGAGCCCCTGTTCCCAAAGAGCCAGCCAGGGGCTGCCTGCCAGCCTGGCTCCATCAACCCTGCATGACTAAATGATAGTTGGCGGTCTCTGCAGGCTACTCAGACCCTCTGCTACCTCCCACACTTGCCTGCTGGCAAGGGGTGGGCCCTGGTCTGTGAATTGACTACCTGTGGAAATGTGACCAATTAGTGTGAAATGCATGTTTAGCGAGCATTAGGTACTGTATTTGAACCAATAAATGTGAATCCTCTGCAAAAATCCTCTGCTTTGGAGACTGTCCTGGAACTAGCTCTTGTAGACTAGGCTGGCCTTGAACTCACAGAGATCCGCCTGCCTCTG